AATAACTTTTATGTGGGCTACACATTACTGTAATCTTGGCAATGGGCAGTAGAATGGAGGTTGTTGGCCAATCCCATCCATCCTGGAAAGAAAAGGTTATAACTGGGCCTTGGCTCTCCTAGAAGAAAAGAAAAGGCGGGCTACTCTTATTCTCCTTTCTTAGAGGATGAGAGCAGCCAACCCTTTGACTCTGTTGACTCTGATGAGCAGAAAATTATGTGAGGAATTTAAAACTTTCTTATACCAATTACTCAATTTGCATTCTTATACCTCAATAACTCCTAAGTGATAACTAATGATTCGGCAAGTTACAGTTGGTGCTGAAGAGCTCTTGAAGCCTTCAGAATGCCAGTAAATATATAATTGTGTGTAATTGCTGATGACAAATACAAAAAGATAATTACTAGACTTCCTCAATAAATAGTGTATTGGGTCATTTTGTTTTAGAGGTTGAGATACACGTGGTCCAACTTTAGTTAGTTTTTCTTTTGTTTTAGCTTGCATTATTCAGTCAAACCTAGATGGTAGATCTACAGACAGTTAAGATTTCCCTTCTACCTTGGTAAGTGAACAAAACCTAGGAGTATCTATTGCTGTACAGATTTAATGAAACCACAAGCAAGAACTTAGAAAATAAACCTTACCTTTCCTCTCTGGATACTCTATATGTAAAGCAATTTCTTTGCTCTATTTTTGCCTTAGTATCTTTTTCTTTCATTGATTTATAATAACAAACTCATAGATACTGTGATTTTTCTATTCATACAAGCTAGCTTTCAGTGGAAAATAAATTAAATGTTTAAATACCCCTTTAGAAAATACAATGAACAAATTCAAAAGACAAATGGCAAAGCAAAGAAAATATTTGCTGCTATGACAAAGGGCTAATTTCCATAATATATAAAGAGTATCTATAAATTAAAAAGAAAAATGTGGAAAGCCTTACAGGAAACTGGGAAAAATATATCAATAGGAAGATCATAGAGAAGAAAATACAAATGATCAACTCCTTTCAGATTTAAGAAAATGAAAATTAAGATAATGAAATATTTTAAACTTACCAAATTGGCAAAAACTAAAGGTTAAATATATTTAATGTCAAAAAATATATATGGAAATATACACTTATACATTTTTGGTGGCTGTATAAATAGGGCAATCTTATTTGTAAGATAATTTGGCTACCCCTATTAAATATTAAATGTACATATGCTTTACCCTTGTAATTTTACTTGTAGGAATTCATTCTACACATATTTACTACAATATTGCTTATGGTAATAAAGTGGAAATAACCTAAAGATTCTTCAGTAAGCAACTCATTAAACAAATTATATGTAGACATGCAGTGAAATACTGTGAAAGCATTATAAGTAATGCAAATAGCTCTGTTGGACTCACATGGAAAGATATTCAAGAGTATTTCTTTTCTTTTTTTAATTCAGAAGTTCCACAATAATGCAACTGTATGTTTAGTATAATCACATTTATGTTTCTTAAAAATTACACATATATATATGTTTATAAAATAGCTGAAGAGACACAGGTGAACAATTATTAGTGACAGTTTCTAAGAGACTCGAGGTGAGGGAGGGAATATAGGAAGTGACACTTTTCACTTTGAACCTTCAAAAACTGCTAAGTGTTTTTTGCAATAAGAAGATATTGCTTTGATGGATGGAAGGAAGGAAGGGAGGGAGGGAGGGAGGAAGGAAGGAAGGAAGGAAGGAAACAGGAAGCCTAGTAGTCAGCCATTCATGTGGCATGGGAGTTAATCTGTGCGTGAGGAGCCAGCACAGCTATGTTTGACATACCTTCTTTTCTCTTGCTCGCCCATTCTTCTGGCAATCCTCACTCCTAAAACAGAAGGGAAGACTCAACTCAGGAAAAGCCTAATGGAAGAAAGGCTGGTTAAGGACACATTATACAAAGTAACATTTTCAAATCACATAGAAAGGATGTATATAACCTTTTGAGACCAACATAACGGATTTAATGCTCACATTTGATAATGACTGAAATCTGAACCAAAGGTATCTTCTCTCTTTAAACTTGGTGAATGACAAAAAGCCTAAATGGATTCCCAATCCCTAGCCACAACCAGATATCCTATCAGAATGGGTATACTGAAAGTGCCTTACGTGTATAGCCTCACTATGAGTACAGTCTAGTAGAGCTGGAATGGTTCATTTCCCCTTCGACATGCTCCTGGGCACCCCAAAGTCCAGCTCCCTTCTCCCGGTGCCCCACTCCCCATTATAGTGCAGCTCATTCAATGGCTGTTTCACGTGGAATATCACCCACAGGCTCACTGTGGGAAAAGTGGCTCCTCTATACTTTCTACACCACGATGCTTTTATGATGCTTCATATGAAGGCAAAATGCATGTCAAATTTCTTCAGCTTTTCCAAATGTGACAAAAATGAGAACTCAAATATCTGTCATTTAAAATAAATTGTGTCTGTTCTCTCTGTTATATTTTCCCTTGACAGTACTTCTATTAGCCTCTTGCTCTATCATATCTGCTTGTGTGTCTATAATATACAAAGCACTGTAGGGGTGGCAAGATAAATAAAGCATAGTTGTTTACTTAAAGAACTTAGTCTTACAAATAAGTCAGCAATAACTAGTGTTTGTTGATCACTGTTCTAAATAATCCACAAGAAATAACTGATTTTATCCTTATAATACCCTGAAGTGGGTATCATTATTATTCCCATCTGCCAATAAGAAAACTGAGGCCCCAAAAGTTCAAGTAATAGGCTCAAAGTCAGACTGCTCGTAAGTGGCAGACCCAAGAAGTCTGCATCTGATCCCACTCCTGCACCACTGTGTTCTACATCTGCTCTCTATGCAAAGAGCTGCATTATAAAGCAGCAAGTGTTAAATGCCCTTTAGTGATACAACGTGCAACAGGAATCCAGACAGGGAGCATCATCTAGTTCACTGCTTTTGTTTTGTAGATAGGAAAACCAACTGGGAAAATGTCATGTGTTTTGCCTAGATTCATCACATGAATTAACTTGGCAGAGCTTTTACCTGAACCTGAACTCCAAACTCCTAGTCTCCTATTCTTTGCTCAGCATTGTGTCTCTACTTTAGTTTGGGAGCTACTTTTCTTACTCTGTTGGGTACAACACCCTAGAACTCAAATAAGAATAAGCTCTCCATGCATCTGAGCAACAAACAGAAGCAGGGTACTTAGGGCATCAACCTTATTGCAGTACAAAACTCTTAGCCCTTTATGTTCTCGTTTATCCCTCTTAAGACCGTTTTCTCTATTGTGTCCTGAAGGGTAATTAAGGAAATACTTAGACAATTGGGGACATAATCAATACACACCTGCTATCCAGACATTTCCATTATTAACCATGCCACTAATCTTACTCTAGTTGATCTTCACTAAAGTGTCATTCAAAATTTTTGTTCATTAGGGTTGGATAACAGGGGGGAAAATAAACTGAAATTATCAGTGTGCTATTCACTGTGCAGGAGAGACATAGCTAAGCCAATTTTGTGCTTGGTTCCATCAACAAATGCTTGTGCTAAATTTCCAGGAGGGTTTGTATTGTTGTTGTGTATGTGAAGCTTTGCTGATAGTGTTTAGCCAGTGGTCTAATTGCCATACACAGCAGTAGAACAACCTTGGGTGTGTGCTTGAAAGCTCAATTTATGTTCCCAGAAACATACCAATTAGGAACTTTCTGGAAAATGTACAGTAGTCACTCTTGGTTTGTTATTTTACAAACTATTGAGAATCCAAAGGAACCAACCCTTACATACTGTGCTTTGAGGGATATTGCTTTGTCTTCCCCAGTGAGTACATTCTTATGAGAATGCAGATTTGCCAGGTTGTGGGCACTGAGAAATGACCACGTGAGGCTCCATGAAAAGTGGGGGAGGCCCTGCCGCACCCCTCAGCAACCAGCTGCCCCCTGCCAAGAACTTGCCTCCCAACAATTGCCACAAGTTGAGGTTGCTAGAAGTCTAGCTTAATCCTAAGAAGCTAGGGTCAAAACCCCTAACTTGAGGATCTGGAGTTCTCCCTAAATGCCGTTTCTAGGGAAGGAATAAACTGGGCTCAGAGAAGAGCTACTCATGCACATGGGATTCTCCTGTGAGGCTTAGATGTGAAATGAGATGCTGCCTGAGCCACCTGGCCAAAGGCTAACTTGTTTAGTGAGTTAGCAACCCCAGAAACATGACATTGCCGTTGAATTCATCTCCCAGTTTTGGATAGAATAGCAAAATTGGTGGGAAGCCTACCAATTATACTTAAATGGCTTTGGTGACTTTTTTTTGTAGATAGATAGATAGTCACTGATATAGAGGTGCATTTGTCTATATCTTGGCCAATGAAAGAAAGAGAAGAGAGGAGAATATGGGAATCGGTCCAGTAAATAATAATAGGTATGTTGAGTGACACTTTGATATTCGTTTCAATTCCTCTTTCAAAAGAAAAGAAATGAAGTAGATCAGCCTCTGAAAGGACAGTTCTTCTAAGTCAAAATGAGCTGATCACTTGAGAATAGAACTCTTATTTCTCCAGAAATCAGAAAAATGTTTTTAAAGGAGGAAAGAATCCAGTTCCTGCCCTGTCACAGAATTGAAGCATTCCTAATTATCATTATAATTAACAAAACAATAACTAACATGTCCAGAGAATGTGCTAAATGCTAAGCATCTGTACAAAGACTTAGGAATTAACTCATTTAACCTTTTACCACCACAGCAGCTATCTAGGCTGAAAAAGAGTAATGAAGAATACGTCCTCCAGCAAAGTGGATGTTGATTTTAAGGACCTGTTTAATTGCAGAAAAGATGAGACAAGATATAGGCAGTACAGAAAGGCTGTGTGGTGCTCTGCATAAGTCTGAGTGTGCAACTTGGGTTGCTGTCACATGTATAAATTTATATGAATTGGCTAATCCGTCTGCTTTAATATAATGTGTATCCAACCATTGGGTTGTAGAAATTTCAAAGATTTTATTTTTTGACAGGAGGCCTGCCGTTTTTCTCTCTTGACTCCCGCTTGTTTTATTCATTTTGGGGTAGTTGCCAATTAGACCCAATTGGTAAGTATATAATTAATGGACAACTTGAATTTCCTCTTAAACTCCAATCAAGAAAATTAACCACAGAAGCCTTCATTTCCTCTAAAAATTCCTAACAATGTCACTCCCTATAGCTGCTGTTTATCTCTCTCTCTCTTCTAAGACATTCAACCACATCAGAGATGAGTTACTCCTTATGATTTGTCATCCTGAAGAGACCACCTAGGACAGTTTGGCATCACTACTAGGGCACTACTAGAATGAAATAAGCATTTATTTAGGTTCCAAGCACTATACTGAGCATTTTCATATATACTATCTTTTTAGATACTCCCATAAACCTTTCAAATTGGGGATTATTATCTTCCTCTTTTATAGTTGATGAAATGGCAGCTCCAAGAGGTTGAGTCCTTGTCTTAAATCCAGTTAATGGGACAGCAGGGTGCAAACTTTGACTGATCTGATTCCAAAACCCTTTCTCCTTCCATCCCACACTTGGAAGCATTATCTCATTCAAAAAGAAGTTTCCCCAAAATTTTGTTACCCTGGAGAGCTTGGGGGTCATTATTTCATTTGACAATTATTTGAGCACCAGCTCTGTGCCAGACACAAGTTGAGTGTTGGTTCGGTTGGAATGAGTCATCAAGCAGGACTTTGGGAAGAGGATGGTGGCTAGTGGTGAGATGGTGGAGGGGCAATATCAGGAGGAAATAGGACAGGGTGATGGAGTGCAGGGTGAGGTGGGGGCAGGTAGAGGAGCTCCTGACCGTGTATCCATGGCTACAGTCTTCCTTCATGTGACTCGTGGACTTCCCTTTGTCATCCTATGCCTGAGAATATATGAAGGAGGCTGGGAAGGCAAAGGGACGTTCAATTGTCATCACTGGCATCTTTTTTGATCATTGCACCATCATCAAATGCATTGGGATAACCATGCCACGAAATTTTCCATCACAGGGCCCATAATTGTCCCCCAAGAGAGATAAAAACTCTGTATGTCAAATGTCATAGTAGAACTTCATCTAGGGAGCTCTGGAGGTGGGAAGATCGAATAGACCTGTGTTCAAACCATGTGGCTTGAAAAGGAAGTTAAGCTTCCTCTGCCCAGGTTACATGTGCAGTCATGCATTGCTTAACAATGGAGATATATTGTGAGAAATGTGTTGATAGGCGATTTTGTCACTGTGAGAACATAATAGAGTGTATTTACTCAAACCTAGATTATGTAGCCTATTGCACACTAGGCTTTATGATATAACCTATTGCTCCTAGGTTATACACCTGTACAGCATGTTACGGTACTAAATACTGTAGACAATTGTAACACTATGGTAAGTATTTGTATATCCAAACATACCTAAATATAGAAAAGATACAGTAAAAATATGGTATAAAGGATAAAAAATGGTACACTTGCATAGAGCACTTAGCATGAATGGAGCTTACAGGACTGGAAGTTGCTCAGGGTGAGTGAGTGGTGAGTGAATGTGAAGGCCTAGGTCCTAGGACACTACTGTACACTAGTGAAGACTTTGTAAACACTGTGCACTTAGGCTTACCCTGAATTATTTTTAAAAATCCTTCAAGAATAAATTAACCTTTGCTTATTATAACTACTATGTAAGCTTTTAAAAATTTTTTTTACTCTTCTGTAATGATACTTAGAATAAAATACACATTGATATTTTCCTTATGTCCCTATTCTACAAGCTTTTTTCCATTTTTAAATTTCTTTATTTTTTTTACTTTTCAAATTTTTTTGTTAAAAACTAAGACACGAACACACTAAGTAGGCTAGGCTTACACAGGGTCAGGATCCCCAAGATGTCACGAGGCAATAAGAATTTTTCAGCTCTATTATAATCTTATGGGACCATCATCATATTTGCAGTCTGTCGTTGACCTAAATGTCATTAGGCAGCACACAGCTGTGTATCAGGAACATCCTACTGCCTTCTGTGGATGCTCTAATCTGTTCAGCCCAATCGTGCAGACCTTCTACTGCCCCAACCAATCAAGGGAAAGGCCTTCCAAAATACAAATTCCAAATGCATGATCAGTTCACTTTAGACTGTAATAACTTGCCATTTTTCAGATATTCTCAACTAAACATGTTGTCCAAAGTTTTCCATGCCTTTTAGAGTCTTCCCTCTAAAGAATAATTTGTGCAAAGGAAACATTACAATCTATATATACCCTACCTTCTCTTCGTTTTAGGAAATGACTAGACACAAGTTGGCTGTGTAACTGAAACGTTTTTCACGCTTGTTAATGAAAAGTCACTTTGTCAATCAAGATAATAATGAAGTCGAAAGAATAACTTCAGGGAGCAGAACAAATTTTAGTGAAACTGATTTCTTGGTGTTTGCCTGTCTTGTTTATCTGACCCATTTTCCTATTCAGGCTAGGAGATTTCTATTTTCCGGCAAAGAGACTTCTCCACATTGGAATTACTTGCTCAGGGACTGGGACAGTTCTTGTAAATAAGTAGTTCTGAACAGGAGTGTTGCCTGCCATTCTAAGATCCCTTAGACATTTTCACGGGCAGAAAAGTACTTTTGAGATCTCTTTTCGGATTAGAAAAATTTGGGTTGCAAGTGTTTGACTGATGTTTTGTCATCTCATTGTTAGCAAAGTTCACTGTGGCTGGTCAGATATGATAGGTTCCTCTCACCGTAACATAGGCTTTCTTGATGGGACCCAGTTTCCCTTGTTTCATTGCTAACTGAAAGAGCTTCCATATTTTTCCACTGTTATTTTTCTAGCTTCTTCTCCTACCATAACTCCAGGTGAACCTTATGTCCCACCCATTCCAAATTACTTGCAATTTCCTTTAAATGACATATCCTCATCTCAGATGTGTTTTTGTTCTTTTTTGACATTAGCTGAAACTTTGTCTTCTCCATCACCCTATCTATCTGGCCCAAACCTACACTCATTCTAAGTCTCAGATCAAAAACCTTCTCCTCTCTGAAATGTTATGGGAACCTCCATCCATAGGATCCCCCCCCCAACTCGTCTCCTCCACATCCTCAGAGCACTCTGTATAAACCTCTGCCAGGGCACCGCTTCTTTCGGTAGAGTAATGATCTGTGCATCTGCCTGCCTGTTCCCCATCATCTGTAGCTTGTCAGCTCCTACAGGGTAGAGCCTGCGTCTCATTCATGTTTGTCATCCTGAAATCCTAGCACAGTGCCTGGCACATGCAAGTAGGTGCTCAATAAATTGTTACTGTAAATATCAATATTTGGTTTCCCTGGCCTTATTTTTAGCTCTGGTTTCTAGCCTGACATAAAGATATAACAGAAGGGATTATATATTAAAGGAAGGACAAATAATGAAACAATAATGGCATAGGAAGCCTCAGGAAGGATAAATAAATACAAGCATGAACAAGCAAAGACCATCATGTACACTTCCTACCCATGGGCAGGAAAGCATTTAGTCTGGGAAATTTGACATGTTGCATCATGATTGTTAAATCATTTCCATCTTATGAATTTAGAGAGTCTAAGAATATGTATTTTGTAGCAGCCAAGGCCACCATGGCTTCCGTATTTCCATTTACATGAAGAAAGAAATAACTATTGATTTTCTCCTACTTATTCAAAGTGATAATTGCCCAGGGCTGCTTTTCAGTCTAGATTAGGATCAATCCATTCAGTAGAAATGCATCGCTAACTTTAGAAAGTTAGATACACATAAAATAAATGGGAAAACTTGTGCTGAATGAGCACTTTTCTGCCATAATCAACAATTTTATGGGGAGATCTATTTAGAGAAGATAAGGTATCTCATTCTCTTTTAAAGAAAAGTGAGCTGAGGTTTTAATTTGCTTAAGATAACCATTTTAAGGCCGGGGAATTTATCATAGGACCCTTCAAAGTCCCTTCCTAGGATTTATAGTAATTTGTCTATCCCTGAAAAATATTATTTGGATTATTTCAAGCCATTGAAACTAATGGATGTAAAAGGGAAGTATAATCCATATAGTCTTGAGAAATGACTGTAGATAGCGCTCCCAGATTGTCACTAATAAAGTTATCATAGGTTTTAACAGAATAAAATTTTTTAACCTTGAACCCTCAGTTCAAGATTATTAACCCTTGAGACAAATGAAGAAAATAGAGATGTTATGCCCTATTAATGGCCCAATAAGGAAACAGGTGGTGGTTTTTTCTTCTTTTTTTCTTTTCTTTTTCTTTTTTGTGGGGAGCGGGGCGGGCACCCAAGGCTGAAACAAATAAGCAGCCCTCCACACTGAGCAGGCTGCCCCTGTTCTATGTTGGAGGCCAGGTTTCCTAAGCTACATAAGGAGTTTCATGTGCCGCAACCCAGCAGGCGAACATTCGAGTCCTAAATCACAGGCAGAGAAATCAACGGCTTTTGCTGGATAAGGAACGTTGGCATCTCTGGGTCCACATGGGCTTCTGTGGGCGATTCCTGCTGGAAAGAGGCAGGGCGAAAAAACAGGTACGCCTTTGCTAAAACAGAGAGGAAGAAGACTGAAGAGGCAGCTTTTCTGGTCATCACACAAATCTGAGCTGAGCCTTCCTCATTAGCAGCATTTCTTCCACCCAGGGGGAGAACAGAGGAAGTGCGCGCTGACTCTGGTGCACATTAGAATTTATTATGAAATCCTGGGAGAGATTGTGAAGCGAGCAGCAATTAAACATGATGTGCCCATGCGAAGAGTTTGAAGAGGAGTAGAAAGTTCACTTCACCTTCTTATTTCCATATTTAGATTCTGGTTTTTGCGGAGGCATGCATGGGGCAGGATTGGTTTTGCTTCTGTTGGTTACTTTGTTTTCATTACTCAAGTAATAAGTACTGTAGTGAGCATGAATTATTGCTCATAAACATAGGTAAGTAGGAAATGTCACAGAATTAAAAAATTTCCCCTTTATTCAAATAAATCCAGTTCCAAGCCCCCTTCCATTTAGTTTTTGGTAAATTCAATCTTAAATCTTTACTAGGTGTGTGTGTCTCTCCCCCTCCTCCTTTCTTTCCCTCTTTTCTCC